CACACACACACACACACACACACACACACACACACACACACACATACAGGAAAAATTTTTTAAAAAAGGAAAGGAAGAAGTCAAATTATCAGTGCTTACAAATATGGTCCTATATTGAGAAGATAAAAAATTAAAACTCCAACAAAAGACTGCTAGATCAAATAAACAAATTCAACAAAGTAGCTGATTACAAAAGTAATATACAAAAATCTCTTTTATACCAACAATGAATCTGCTGTGAAAGTAATCAGGAAAACAATCCTATTCACAATAGCCTCAAAAAATTATCTAGGAATAAATCTAACACAGAAGATGAAAGACTCTGTAAAGAAAACTATAGAACATTGAAGGAAGAAATTGTAGAAGACACACAAAGATGAAAAGACCTCCCATATTCATGAATAGGCAGAATTAAAATGTTAATGTAGCCATACTACCAAAGCAATATAGAGATTCAATGCAATCCCCATCAAAATATCAATAACATTCTTCACATAACTAGAAAACAGTTCTAATATTCATTTAGAAAAATAAAAGATTCAGAATAGTTTAAGCAATTCTAAGCCAAAAAAGTAATGCTGGTGGCATCACAATATCTGACTTCAAATTATACTAAAGAGTTTTAGTAACAAAAACTGCATGTCATTGACATAAAAACAGACACATAGACCAAAAAAAGGTACAGAATAGGAGACACTAGACAAATCCACACAGATACAGTCATCTGATCCTTGATAAAGGCACCAAAAACACACTGCAGAAGACAGACTTTTAAACAAATGGAGCTAGGAAAAGTGGTTATCCATATGTACAACAATGAGACTACACCTTTTCTCTCACCCTGCCCCAACATCAACTAAATACATATTAAAGACCTAGGAATCAGACCAGAAACTATGCAATTGCTAGGGGAAAAATATATAAATATATATATATATATATATGGTCAATACTTTATTTTTTATTGGTTGTTCAAAACATTACAAAGCTCTTGACATATCATATTTCATACATAAGCTTCAAGTGAGTTATGAACTCCCTATGGTCAATACTTTAGCATATAGACACAGGCAACAACTTTTTCAACAGAACTACTAATGCTCCTGAAATAATACCAAGAGTTATTAATAAATGGAATGGCATCAAATTTTAAAAGTTTCTGCACAGCAAAGGAAACAATTAAGAATGTGAAGAGAAAACTTACATAATGGAGAAATCTTTGCTAGCTGTTCTTCTTATAGAGGATTAGTATCTAGACTATATAAAGTAAAAAAACTCAACACCAAATAAAAATAATAATGCACTTAATAAGTGGGCAAATGAATTAAAAGACACTCCTTAAAAGAAGATACAGAAATGAACAACAATGATATGTGTGTGAGTTTCTCAACATCATTAGCAATTAGGGGAATACAAATCAAAACTACTCTGAGATTTCATCTCACAGCAGTTAAAATAGAAGCCATCAAAAATACAAACAATACTAAATGCTGGAGAGGATGTAGAGAAAAGGGAACACTTTTACACTGTTGGTGAGATTGTAAATTAAAAAAAAATACAACCCCTATGGAAATCAGTATGGAGGTTCCTCTAAAAACTAGGAATGGAACCACATAAGACCCAACTATCCCACTTATCAGTATTCTTTTTTTTTTTTTCAATGAACTGTTTATGTATTCTCTT